TTTCTGCAATGCATAATGCTATCAGGGCGAAGCAGCAGCGGCGGTGGAATCTCTTTAGCAGGGGGGGCAATTCTGTGATGTGACAGCATTAAAATTCTCCCTTTCTCCGTTTCCGACTCTCAGTCCCGGGCGGCTGAGGGTCGACGTATAGATAAATATATACGTCTTGCCTCCCGCGGCGTTTTTGATCGCGGCGTCGAGTGCCTCTCTTCATCCGGATTTCAAGCCTAACTGAAACGTCTCGGCGGAACTGACAGCGTTTAGCGGACGTGTTAACTTACAGGGAGACGCCTGAACCGAGCACGTAATGAGTTTGCTGCTTGGAGATTAACCGCGTGTCAGGTAGGAGGTAATTGTCTGTGAGAGCGGAGTGCTTAAGGAAAAAAGAAAGACGTTTTAAAGGGCTTGTCCACTGTGGAATGCGTGCCGCTTTAAAGCTGAGCTCCGGACAGAGAAAACTTTAATTGAAATATATTCCTCAACAGCCACAAAGGATATATTTTCACTCTGCGCTCACCAAATGGCTTTGCAAACTTACATCATCACGGTGCTGTACATAGCCTGTGCAGAGAGCTGAGCTGTGGGAGGAGCCCAGCAGGTTCCACCCGCTACAGGAAACTATGGGCAGGGGCATCCCGAGGCATGGTGTCACCCCGAATGGCCACCGGGTGACACCCTGCCGTGACGTCATCGCGCACGCGCGTGATGACCTCATGATTTGTTAGCTGCTGGCGGCCATCACGGTGATGGACCCTGGTGATCTGTCGAAATCTCCAACTCGCCAAGATCTCCGACTGTTGACTTGCCAAAAGCAGATTTAGACCAGATGGCGCTAGTGCGCATGTGCCTGCTGTGCCAGTGTTGGAATCCTTATCGAGTTATCAAGCTCCTATCAAGTTCTCCAGCCCCAGTCACTGCACGGGCACCCCAAAAGCGCACCCACCCGATGGCAAAACATGTAATCTCTTAGCATGTTGTGCAATCGGATAGGCGCGCAGGTGCATTAACGCTATTTGGAGGACTTGATTCTGCTTTTCCGTGACCGCGCAGGCGCACTAACCGGGGTTACAGAACTTGATGGGGATTGTGAAGCCACGCAGGCGCAGTGACGGAAGTTCGATAACTCAATGAGGATTCTGACAGTGGTACGTTTGGCGCACCCGCACCAGTGTCATATGGTCTAAATCTCCTACTGGCTTCTACTGGCAAGTCACCGGGCGTGACATTACCAGTTGGAGATCTCAGCGAGTTGGAGCTTTTGACATAACACTGGCAGAGCGAGGAGGGGACGTTCACCCGGAGGGATAAGATATGCCGCCGGGTCCCCTCCTCTGTCGTGCAACTGTTGGGCTCTCGGTCCATGACCGAGTGCCGAATTTTCAGAGGGGGTGACACCAAAATGAGTGGCAGTTATTTTGGTGTGTAACACCTCCAATGGTGTCACCCGGGTGTGGGCTGCCACCCCGCACACCCCTAGTGACACCACTGACTACAGGAGGGGGCAGAGACAAGACCAGTGACCATCCAGAAGAAGAGAGATCAGCAGTGACCAATCTTTATTACAGGAAGCTCCTCCCAATACAGGCCACCTGCAGAAAACTTCCGGAGGGGGTGGAGACAAGATCAGTCACCCTGTACAAGAAGAAAGCAGCGGTGGCTGGTCTTTATTACAGGAAGACCCTTCGCCCTTAAAGTGAACCTGCACATTGTTTGTGCAGGGCAATGCCCTTCCCAGTTGCAAGTTGCTCTGTTCCCACAAAACTTAATTCATCTGCTGGAGCGAAATAAGAAAGCTCCAAGTCACGAACCCCCATGTCATAGCGCTGGATGCCTCAGCAGCCAATCGCCATCCTGTCACATGGGACACATGGGAGTGACTCCTATCTACGCCCCATATCCGGGTTCTCCTCTTTTCTCTCTGGGCAGATGGGGATGGTGGCAGTTTAGGTGGACCCATTACTATTCCCCACTTGGGCGGGCATAGGTTGACTTAAAATGCACTGAAAGGGGAACAACAGCTGCCACCGATGGCCACGACTGGGAGCCTCCATACCTCTGCCATGGCAGGTGAACTCTATAGAGGATTTAGGTGGCAAGGAGGATGTTTTGCTGGCTGCTTCTGCCAGTCACGAGGTTCTCGAAAGCTTAGAATACACATGACTCTTGTATTTAGAGAATATTTGCTGATCTTGGAGTTCATCTTTATGTAGTCTCAACTCTTTAGCCCATC